CATGCCAAAAAAAGAGTACAGTGTAGGATTATCTCTCCTGGAACAGATTCAGGAAAATCAGCTCCCTTTCAATTAAAAAACACCTGAGATCTTGATATGGAAGGCTACAGGTTACATATTCACGTTTTCAATATACTGAGTTAGAATTTCCGAGGATAGAAGCCTCCAGGAAGAGTTCAAAGGTAGAGTGGCTGTGCAGAAATTGAATGCAGCCAGCTTCACTGCTTATTAAAATCTTGCAGGAGTGAAAAACAGACATCTCTGGAAGAGGAAAACAAACTTTTGTTTCAGAGAGCTGATAGTGTTACTACTTTTTTTGCTGCCAGGATAGGGTTCTCAGCTGGCATAAATAGCAAAGCTCTGTTGAAGTTTGTGGAGCTGTGCCAGAAAACAGCTGCCTGAGATCAGACCATCAGATGTGTAGTCAGGATGCCTTCCTGCTGTCAAGCTTCAGAGGAGCTCCTCACTGAAAGCAGGTCCGAAGCTGTAGTCTGATGTGTGACAAAGCAACTAGCAAGTCTGCTACTCTAAGTGGCTCTCTTAAAAGCCTGTTGCTTCAAAGAAATTATGAGCAAGCCACTGTGTTTTATCATTTCTCTCTTACCATCCTTTGTTTTTAGTTTGCGTTTTTGGGGTGGTTTTTCTCCCTTAGACTAAACTGTATTAATTTTGAGGTATAGAACTTTCTAAAAGCCTACAGAAATTAGTAAGCTAAAATGAGCAATAACCAATAATTAATGTCAAATAAAATATATTTTGCATTTTTCCCAGAATTGCCAACACCTTAGAACTTTGCAGTAAACCAAATATTTTTAAAGTGGTGCAACAAAAGTAAACTCTACATTTGCCAGCAGTAGATGGATTGCAGACACAGTAGATCTGTTTTTATTGTACCATCCAAGTAATTAATCTTGTATTTCAACAAAATCCCAGTAAGCTGGCTATGTAACACTGTATGTGCCACGCAGCATGAAGATAACTTATGAAATGTAAGAATCCTTCATCCTTCAATTTTCTCTCTTTCTGTCTCCTCTTAATTCACCTGTATACAAAGACGGATGGTCATTCTCAACCTCAGCTGCAAACTCTGGAGCATTAGTAGGCTTAGTTTTAGTTAACAAGCATCACTTTTCCCAGGTTGTTTTCTCCAAACATATGATGTGTTTCACAAGTTTTGTGGAACATAACTATCTGGATATCCTGCATACTGTGCTATAAGCTATTTGCATAGACTGTAAATCTTCAAGAGTTTTGCAAACTAAGAATTTTTTGAACAAATATACTTACTGTCTAAGGACCTAGTCCTCTAATTAGTGCCATACAAGTAAATTCTTACCCTCAAATAGATGCAGCTATATCGTTTTAGCTCAAGGGTTCGACTCTGCAGATTTTCATTCAATAAATAGCAAAGTACACAAGATCACAGCATCAAGAATCAAAGGAAATATTTTTTAAATGCGGTGTCTTTGGTTAAACATACCACAGTGAATTTGGACTAAGATCTGATTCTAAACTGAATTCATCACTCTTACACTGATTTAATCTGCAGTGTGGGGGGGAAATTGAGCCAATGAGACTCAAATAGACATTTTGCTCAGATCTGCCTCCTTATCCGACATTGGAGTGTCCCATAAAGGAAGGAAAAAGAGCATTGAAATACAGTTACAAACTTTAAGATAAGAAAAATAATAATTTTTATTGCTTTTATCAGGACAGCATATAAGATGACTGTGCGTGTGATGTGTGTATGTGGTCTTTGACCACAAAATTTAACATGAGAAAGGAAAGTGTTGACACTTGGTAAAGAAATAGGTTCCTCCCAGCCACCCACCCATAAATACAGTGTGTGTAGCAATTGTCTCCTAATGTGCTTTCTTTCCCTCCAGATATGTGCAAGTGCTCTGATCTTCTATTTGGCTCTTTAATGCATCCCTGCAAATGAAATTACTATTCTGGGATGTTGCTAAAACATTCAAGTGACTCTTTTGTATCAGCACTGGCTGGCTTGAAATAAGTTCCACAGGGAGTCTCAGAAGGGAAAATGTCCTGTCACAAGCTGGTTGAGGGTTTTAAAGGGAAAATTGGAAAAGGAAGAGGTGTTCAACTTTTGTGGGATTGCCTGAAACTCCTCCTTCAGGTCTAATATTTCCTCTGCTGGATTCCCGCTCTTGCTTGGGAGTCTGAATTTCTGGTACCTAAAATAAGTAGAGACAAACTAATCAACTTTAGGCCATGTGCATATGGTTTGATAAATACGAATGGCCTGGAATCTTGCATGGCTGACACTTTGTTTCCAGCTTTGTGGTAAAGAGATGAACAGAAAGGAGAAAGCGACAAATGTTAAACTACACTGGCCAAGAACACCTGCATTTATGAAAACTTTCTCTAGTTGAAAATCTAGTAGTTTCGAATGCTGTAGACTGGGAGTTTGGGAACTAGCTCACAGGCTGCTAAGACAGAAAGAAGCAGTAGGCGTTTTAAGCCCCTAGTTCAGGTTACTCCTCCACCCTCCTTCTTGTAATATGGGCATTCAGGAGGTGCTAATAACATCTTTACAAATTCTAACAAGGGAAAAAGTCTCTCTTTAGACTTCAGACACATTTATCTGCAGTTCTTCTCTTAACTCCCTTTCCTTGCCATCTCCCCTGCCCTGCCCCCATTTCTCTTCCTCCTCAATATTTCCTCCTGGTTCCTTGAGATCTACTACACCAAAAATATTTTTGGAAATACCACAGACTATTGTTTTTATTAGTGACTGGAAAGCTTTGTAGTGGGATGCTTTTGTGTTTCATTTTTTTTCTTGCTCTGGCACAGCTGTTTTTGTTTTAGCAGCATTAGAGGGATAGTTAAACTATTTGTGGCCTTTTCTAACCCAGCAGATCTCTTCCACTGAATGCTTTAAACTGAATTACTGAAACTGTGACTAAGAGGTTGTCTGTGTGGGCAGTTTTGTGCACAAAGTTACAAATGCACTGGTTTTATGAGGTCTTATAATTTGTTCAGCAGAACGCTGATCACTGTGAAGCAAGTCCCAGTTTCCTTATAAATTTCCCAGCCAGAACTTTGACAGAACCTTGACTTGGGTAGATACATAACAAATGATGCATTAGATTTTGTTCAAACCTACACACACTCAGAATTAATTAATGGAAAAGTGGTTTACGTAGGTGTGGTGATCCTCACCTTAGCCAAAAGGGAATAGGAAGAAAAGACACAGCAGGCGATGGAATAGAATGTGGTCTGAGGACAAATCTGCCAAAGGTGGTACGTAGCACCTACAAACACGTAACTGGCCACTATGGCCACAAGGAGAAAGATGGAAAATTAGGAAACAGACATCCAGTCAAAGAAGGGTGACAGCAGAAAGTAGTAAATGAAGAATGAAGCAAATCAAAAGGTGAAGTAAAACTAAAAAGTAAATGAAGAGTGAAAAACATAATATATCTGTGCAAAGGTACCTTAAAAGCAAAAGGAAAAAAGGAAATCAGTTGTACTGGTGGCTTCAATGTTCATGTCTGGTGACATAATATGATATTGAAAGTATGGGCTGGTGAACATGACGAAAATGAAAGATAAGAATGTAGCTGAGATCTGTCCCCCTAAATCCCATTCTTACCATATGTTTCCACAACCTCTGCTGGGCAGGCACAAGCAGCAGCACAGATTTAGAGAATTGTTGTTTGGTATTGGTCTGGCAGTTTTATTTCTGGGAGATCAGGCAGATGATGGACCTGGCTTGATTCATCGTATGTCTGTGCAAACCTAGGACTGGTACTGAGGAGGCAGTGGGAAAAGACAGCATGTGGCTATGGGGTAGGTGGTACCATCCCTGTCAGCATGTTATAGCATTGGAAGAGTAGCACATATATTAGCTTGCTGATGAAATATAATGCAGGTGGAGTGGGGAAGTGACAGTACAGTACAGTAATGTTGAGTGTGGCCCTTTCCTTTTGAATGCGATGTGTGGGGAAGCAACTGCACTTGTCAGAAACCACCTCCTTAGTGTCACTGCAAAAGAAAAGGCTGAGATTACTTTTCCAGCACATTTTTTCTCTGCTGTTTTTTGTCTTTTTCCTTCATTAAAAATAATGGTTTTCAACTCTCCTGTCAGTTTTGCTGGGGAACACATCAGTGGATTCATGACTGAATGAGACCAGGGACAACACAGAAAACAAAACTTGTGTCTGAAAGTCTTAAATGACTGGTCTGTTATCAGATGATCGTGTTGAGGTAATGATAGCAAGATAAGACGACGGAGAAACTGAGCAGAACTCAACAATGGATTAAGTATGTAGATGCATGTTAGAGTAACTGGAGTTATGCTGAATGTTGGTAACAAGATGCAGAAGATCAGACCTTGTGTAGTAACAACATTTTATCACGTGCTTTTCCTCTATCTAAAAAATTGCAGCAAAAGCACCAGTTTGAGCTGACCAAAATGCAGTATTTTCTACTTTAAGATTTATTACAGTCACAGAATATAATAATAAAAAAGTGTATGCACAGAAGTAACTAAGATATAGGAGAAACCCTGTGGAATATTGTTAATGAGAAGAGATATGCATATATTGACATCTGTGTCAACATCTGTAGACATTGGTTGCTTCCCTTTATAGTGAATTAAGTTTAGAAAGAACACACTCTATTTACATGTCCTATATCCGGAGAGGCATATAGCTACTTACTTGTGTAATCCAGTAGGCTTTAATCAGAGCCATACAGTAAAGGGAATTGTTTACCTATCCCCAGAACACATACTGTCTCTGCTGATGGGAAGGCACCTCACGAGTACAAGAATATTAGTCGTCTGTCCTAAAATGCCATGAAAATCAACATCGCTGCATTTAGCTCATTCCATGTGTTTCTACTGAATCAAATAGCAAAATACATGTTTCAGCCAAACTTTTTTGAATTGTTACCTGTGGCCCTTTTTTCTTGCCTGTTACTAGACTCCAGTTATGATCTTTCTACTGACAGTTCCCCTGACTGACTCATTTCAGGGCTCCAAAGAGTGTACCAGCTGGGGAAAAACACAAGATACTTCAGACGAAGACTGCATGAAATGGGCTTCATCATTTATGGCAATGACGATTCTCCTGTTGTCCCCTTACTCCTTTATATGCCTGGTAAGATAGGGTAAGTACTGAAAAAAACCTGTTGGTAAAACTAACACTATTCAACTGCATAGGTTATTTGGTATACACTATGAAAATGTAGTTACATGTGGTAGATGCTTCACAAGAGAGACATATGCTGTTACATTAATTCATCATAATTTTGAGCTGTTCCAGTATCCAGCATTTTTAAAATTTCTCACTCTTTTTTACCTAGCTCTGGAATAGTACTTTTGATAGCATTTTGGATTTGGATTTTTTTTAATTTTTAATCATTAAAGCACATATTGCCTTTGATGTATGAATTGTTTTGGATGGATGTTCTTTTTCCCCATCTGATCTTTGAATGGTCTTTGTATGTTTTACCATTCAGTACATAGGAAGGAACCCTTGTGCACTGACTTGGACATGCATACCAGAAGTCAGTAGTAGCATAGTGTAAGAGTTGAGCTCTAGGAAGTATTTGCAAGTAGCTTAGGGTGATTATGTGTTCTACATCTAGTACATACACACAAAAGGTTCCTAAACTGGTAGAGTAATTGTGAGAGCCAAGAAACAATCGCACAGATTGTCTTTTTGCTGTTGATGTGCAGGAACCCAGCTCTCACCTTGCAGAAGCCCGGTTTCTTCAGTGCTTGGGGACTGTGAACACCCAAACATTTTGATTTGCACTTAAAGCTTTTCATTGAGATTAATGAATCATGTCTATTGTACAATGCCCTCTCTGCCATCTCACTTCTAGTATTTGACACTCACTTGACTTCATGAGCTGTGAAGCAGCAAAAAATCTCTACTGGTAAAATTCTGGCTTTCATTGAAACAAATTGGGAGTATTACCATCCACTTCAATTGAAGACAGGATTTTACCCATTGTTTTATTATACTTGAATGTTTTCTCTTCATGGTAAGTTTATTGGAGATATTTACTTTGGTTTTTCTTCTCCTTCTCAGGGCTTTTGCGAGACGCATGTTAGAAAAAAATATTGGGGTGGTTGTGGTTGGGTTTCCAGCTACTCCTATCACAGAATCCAGGGCTCGGTTTTGTGTGTCAGCTGCACATACACGGGAGATGTTAGACACGGTAAGCATAGCAGATGTTCTGCTGAAATTAACTTCACATGCTAAGGAGGTTGGGAGAAGCTGTGTGTCTGTTACTTTGGATCTCAATAATTCATTTTTACATTTGTTTTACTGGCCTTGACACTTAATCTTTAAAGGTATTTTAGCCTTATATATTTTATTTTTTAAAGTAAATTATGGGACAGTTAACTTGTTATGTTCTTCTATTTCTAATAGAGACCAACTCTGCCATAACTAATAAAGACCTACATGAAAAGCGCAGCAAGACAAAAGTTAAATGCTAAGCCAAAACTATCAGAGTAGGAAACCTGAAAAAATATGGAAATAATTGTAAATTAAGTTTTCCATACCCTTATTTTCATTCTATATTTCCATTTTACAATTTCAGTTTCTTGAATTGCAGAAGTATATGAGTCAGCCTTGGGGGTACTGGTGGAATTTGCAAACAGTATCTGAAACTATTTGAACCCAATGAAGTTTGGTGCTGCCTCGCCTATCTCAGTTCTGTATCTTTCTCTGATAATCAGAAGTACTGTTCAGAGTATGTAGAGACTTCCATTGTAAACCTCCATTCCAGTGCAGTCAGAAATGTGTTTAAAATAAACTCTTTGAAATTTTCCATCTCCCTTTCTTGCTGAAGGTCTTTTTTGGCTTCACTTGATATACGTTCTTCCATTCTCAGAATAAGTTCTCTTAGAGGCATGAAACACAGAGGCTTAGCAGTAAAATTCAGGCTTTCTTTGTCCTTTATTTGCACAAGAATGATAGTCAAAGCAAAAAACCCGTGAGCATGGAAGGCCTTTGAGTTACAAATGCCACTCCTTCATGCAGACAAGAACCTATGTCTGCAAGGACCCCCTGCCTCTCCATTTGCATCTTGAGATTCATGTGGAGCTTGAGGCCAGAGCCCTGCCCAGCTGACCAGATCCCAGCGTAGACCTCTCCCAAACAACTTAAAAAAATCTGCCTTGAGTGTGTGCAGTGTAAAATCCCTGCTCTTCTTAAAGGCACAGTAGTTATTAACAAGGTATAGTACCATAAAGATAATATTGCACAGATCAGGGTGCAGCTATGTCCTTGTGTTGGTCATTGCTGGCTTTTGCTGTTTGTGTAGATTTTGGCTTATGTAACTAGCAATAGGCAGTGAAGTCGATCTGAAGGTTAATCTCTTGAGATTACTGCTTTGATTTTCTTCCTTTCCCCCACCTTCAAATATCAAGCCCCTCATTGCATGTTCACTTCCCGCTACCTGCACATTGCTGCTTTCCTGGTACCAGTGAAGGCCTGAAACACTCTCCAGCCATCATTCCTGAGCATGCTGTGTTTTTGCCTTTAGAAGTGGGATCATTGCCATAGTACTTGTGGCATTCTTTCAGTGTCTTTACACTATGGGGGAATGGAAATCTCCTGAGTTTAATTACTTGCAGATGGAAGGTTTTTTAGGACAAACACTTTGTGAATATGCCTAAACCCAGGGTAGCAATAGGTATAAAGCACAATGAAAACTTTACCTTTTGGCAAAATTTGTTTTGAAACTCAGCCTGGAACTAAAAAGAGGAAAGATCCATGAAAGGGCAAGCTCCCAAGAATAACTTCCTTAATGACCTTGAAGCTATCTTTCTGCATAAACTACTACTAAATTACTCCTTTTTGTTCTTGAGCTCATTTTAGTGGTTTAACAGAAACAGGCTCAAAATCAAAATTGCCATTTTCTTCTTTGATGCCAAAAGGTTGACTGGTCTTGAATGTGGATCAGATGCTGCCAAACACTGAGCTGCTTCTCTATGGTATAGAGTTCTCTGGCTGCTTTTTGAACTAAGGGCTGGGGACACAGCTCAGCAAATTGCATCACAATATTAATGCATTATTAATTATGCCTGTGATATTAATACAAGAAGGTAAAGGAATGGATGAAAAAATTTTAAACTATTCAGAATATTTATGATGACTCTGATCAGCACTGTGCACTGAGTCCCATCTAAGAAATTACAGTGGCGACTCCAGTCTTTGGGATCTATAGGGAAATATTGAAGTATTGCCTTACACATCCCTTTTGCACAAGTAAAGATAACGTTTTATCTGGATTATTTTATCCCTGTGCTTTTAGAAAAATGTGGGTGTTTTTCATCTGTGTCCAATCAATGTACTTGCTAATAAACAATTTCCTACTGAAGGAGTGAATTCTGTTCTCGTACATACTATTGTACATCTGTGACTGCATTGATGTTCACTACAGGAGAATGAAAGCAAAAATTGTCCATTTCCCTTTTAAACTTTCTTTAATTGATGTTTTTATTATCTTTTTCTTCTGCTGTAAATTAAAGGTTATTAGAAATTAATTTCTTTTCCAAGAGAATTGATACAGTATAACGGTCTTGCAGGTTTTGAATGCTCTGGATGAATTGGGTGATTTTCTGCAACTGAAATATTCCCGGTATTCCAAGTCATCTCATCCGGAACTGTATGAAGAAACTAGGCTTGAACTTGAAGATTAAGTTTCCCACCCATGAAGAGAACATTATGATGCTATGAAAGGGGGGAAAACCCAAAACCTAAAAAATACGAATGCATTTCTTCCCTTCTAAGGACAATTTTTGTTTCTCAGTAAACTGAAAGGAGGGGAAGCTTAGGTGTTGCATTTTATTGTATCAAATTTCTGTATTCAAAAGACTGAAATATTGATACAGATTTGCCTCCCCAGGAGATTTGTCATTCTTACGGTATTTTTGATGCAGAATTAGTGCATCCATTGATCGAGTTGTTAACATACAGCTTTTGTTATGGCCCCTTTTTATGAAGAGGCTTCAGATAGTCTTAATTATGACTGAAATAATAAAGTTTAAAAACTGAATGGATTCCAGTGTAATATGGTAATATAGCTGAGCTTCATCAGTGAGATTGACTTTTATCTGTTAAAGAGCAAAAATCAAGACATTGGTGTGGACCACTACAGAGGAATGAGCAGAAAGTAACCTCTTTAACTAGGTTGCCCTTATATGCATTTCTCCAAGGTCAGAAAATGTTAGAAAAAGGCTAATCCTGAAAACAAGAAAAGTAGCCTGATCGGATCATACATTTCTGACGAAAGATTATGGGAAAGGGAAAACACCTCCTCCCTTACACAGACCCTTTCTTGGCCATATAAACACACTATGAGCTTCGTAATGTACAAAAATTTGGGCTTAGACATAAACAGAAATGCTTTTCTGCTAACACATTTGACCTACAGCCTTTCACATCTTATCACAACGTAAAATCTTCAGCAGGCTTGCTCCCTTTTTGTGTAGCAGTAGTAAATAATTTTAATAACCATTTAACTTTCCCATAAAATCCTTGATCAAAACAGTCAGATACTTGCAGTTCCCAAACTGCAGATTACATTTATGGGCTCATTCCTAAGTTTCTTGAACTACTTATGGGTTTAATAAATTCACTGACAAGTACATAATGATGAAGCTGTGAGTTATACAGAATGTGTTGTTCAAGATACCATAAGCAGTTCTGCCACCTGTTAAATTTCACTTTTCTAAATGTGCTAAGGTCATCCACTTAATAACATTTCTTGAAATATTCTTGTCTGGTTCATGCATGTCAGGTTTTACTTGTCTAGTAGCAGACATTTTTTTAGTGGTTTATTTTTCAAATAATTGATAATGTTATCTGAGGGGGAATATGTCCCTGTCCCCTTTTCCACTGCCTAAGTGACAAATGCTCAAAGATACTTGAAGGAACCATTACAGCTGGCAGCTTCTCTGCAATGCCTGCAGCAGCATTATTGTCAGGCTTATGTGGGCTGAGTGGTTTGAAGGAGATTGGAGGCTTTTTCCCTTTTTTGCAGTGTTGAGAAGAGGTTCTGCAGCTTTAAGAACAAACTCCAAATCATTCCATGCTATCAAATGTCATTGTAAACACATCAGATGAGAGATGTTTAGCTTTCTGTTGCACAGATGTACTACACTTTCATGTTGTCTTGAAAGCTGTGGTGTAAACTTAACCCACAGCTGCAATATTAGATTTAAGAACAGAACAATTAAATTGTGGAGTACCAATTACACTATATTACTCCCTGCTTGTTAAAGCAGCTTTCAGGATATAACAAGACTGATTGGTTATGAGGGCCCATTTTTTGGTTAGATTTTTTGTTGTTGTTGTTGTGCAAGTTAATAAAAACCCAGTGGCACTATAAATTTAAGAATCGATTACAACACATTCCGTAATATCAAATGTCAGCTTTAGGAAACATATATCGAGGTCTGGAGAGAACAAAATGTTGTCATATGATTCTTCACTTTGGTAGACAGACTTAAAAAACATTGCAGAGCTTCAAGAGAGCTGTATTTGTGGAGAAGAGCAAACTCACTGTATAAATTTTAAAATAATCAAGCTCAGGACAGAAAAATCAGGAAACGTGAACTTCATCTTTGAGTAATCTGGCAATTTGCAATATACAGATTTGCTACATGCAGGGTGAGTGCACTTACTGTGAAGGAGATGGGTTAGGAAATTTCTGCAACCTGTTTCTCAAGGAAAAGTACTGAATTTGATATATTGCGTTTTGATACCTATTGCTGAGCATCTGTGGCCAGATCCTCAGTTGACTTCTGACCTTCCATCTTAGGGTATACAGCCATAGTTTATATTTCAGCAAACATTATTACACATGCTGTTGCAGGCAACACATTATTTTTGTTACAGAGAAGCCTGAGATTGATTAAGCTTTTTGTCCCTCTATAGGGGAATGTTTTCTGTCTAAAGTCTGATTCCTCGTGCCCTCAGAACATTACTCTGACTCATATTAAGGAGACAGGACAGCTATTTTTCAGACTGTCAGTTGATTTATTATATGCATCCCTTACATTAGAGAAAGTACAGGCTGACTATCCCTGGGCTTGAGGAACATTTAGGAAGAAATCCCTGCACCATTGGTGCAATAATAAAGCTCCCAGGAACTTCAGACTTACATTTTCCCCATGAGGCATAGTTATGGTCTGGCACTGGCTTTTCTGTCAGTGTAATTTCAGTAGAGTTTTTCCAGATTTACATCAGTTTTAATAGATTTAGAGTTGATCAGCACTTATTTTAGCTAGCTTAAGAAAAAACTGGAGTACTTACTAAGGAATTAGCACATCTAGCATAACGATCACATATTTCCTAGAATATTCTGTCTTCCGGCATGCATGTTCTTGGAAGATGTAGTTCTCTGTAATTGTTTTAGAATATTTTGAAGAATAACTGCCTTCCATAAATAAAAATTGCTCAAGTCGTCATATTTTAATCCAGTGGAAGTGTAAGTATGAACACACTAATTTTTTTGTTGGCAAGCTGCAATTCCAGCATCTTGTTATCTTTCATAAAATCTTGATTTACCTTCATGTTATGGGAAGACTTGTCAGTTTGACAGAGTATCTGAACGGTTTGCCCTTTCCTGTACCTTTATCCCACCTCATCTTCTGGAAAGCCTTCATTTCCTGAGTTTATAAAACTTGTCAAGGTGGTTCCCCCATTCACTTCTCCTGCCTCTTTATACTATTCTCTCTGCTAGTTCCTGCCCTCTGGGTCTGGGGCAAAGCACACTGGCAGCTGCAGAGGACCTGAACTGTAACAATTGTCTCACTCTGCCTGCTTTTCCTGGTATCCTCATCAGCTCCTGCAGACTTTAATCTTTCTTTTTCAAATAAGTTTCCTACTGATGGTGCTAAGTTTCTAAGCTGAACGGAATCTGAACTGCCCAAGCTGTTGAACCAAGAATTGGCTTGATCTATCACTCATGCAAGCGTAGATCAGGTTAAATCTTGCTTTGAAGTCAATACTGTTGCTTTTAAACTAGTGCAAACGTGAGAGCAACCTCTCAGTGTGAGGTGAACTGCCCCTATTTCAGAGGGGTTTGAATGCTGATGTCTCTGGACTATTTCACAGCTACTGATCTTCACAGGGGAACAAGATATGGAAGTGGATTTATTTAAGGTAAAATTTATTTTTTCTTTTTTTTCTTTTTTTTCCAGAATGTGTTTGGTTGAAAGTGCATCACATGTCTCCCTGTCCTATAGAGATAAGGAACAAAGTAATGAAGTAAGAAAAGCAATTTGTACTGCAGGCGTTTATGTACTTTCCAGCCTGCTTAGAAATCCAGTAGAGATTCTCTAATACATTATCTGCTTTTTATTTGTGTATAAACTTTAATTATTCTTCAAATTAAAACACAGATGAGTAACAGAAAATACACCACCAGCTGAGAAATGGCAGATGTCATTCCAATATTGGCAGCTGAACATTCCAGCCTCCAGATGCCTTCAAAAAAAGCATCTAAGTGTTTCCCTCATTTACTCACACATCCCATGTTGTTTCTGCTCACTGCAAACCAGTCATAAGGTAAATGAGAATCTCACTCTATCCATTAGTGAAGTAGAGTGTCAGACCTGTCAGGATGGTCCCGAAATCACCACCAAAGTGACCACATAAAATACTAATTCAGCACCATCAGAACAGGAGTCTGGTTGCTCAGCAGTTAGACCTAAGGGGTGAGTGTGTTTCTTTCCACACGTGTAGTATGTCACTGACAAGTGATATAAGGAAGCAGTGATAGATCCATTTATATCACATGCTAATCAAATTAAATGGGTAATGTAGAGGTACAGGATCTTGACAGCTGTGGTGGACCTGGAGACTTAGACTGGATCCACTTGTGTGCAAAGAATTTTTTTGTGCAATTGTTACAGGATTTGTTACATCTTTTTAACCAGCTAGGTAGAAAACTTGGTCTTTAATATCAAAATAGTGACAGCAAAGCAAGGAAAGAGAGATACTGCACCCTGTGTGTTACTCCAGTTTGTTTATGAAGAGAAGGCAGGGTAGATAGGGTGCCATAGCAGATGTCCCCAATACTTGGTATTCTATTATGTTTCATAAATCCTTTTTTGAAGAATCACTTCTGCCAGATGCTGCACCAAGGCCAACAAGTATTAATTGTTATCAATATACCTGAGTTCTGGGTGTTCAGTAATGCTTGAGCTGCCATCTCTAGAAAACAATGCTGATGCTGAAAATTGTCCAGAGATCATTCTAGTGACAACTGTGCACAGCATCACTGATGATTGTGATGCCCTCATTGGACAGATTGGGCAACTGGGGTGCCACTACTGGGAGTGACTGTGCCATAGTGACAGCTGCCTGTGCTGCTCTGTCAGGTGTAACTTACGTGGCTTCAAGACAGGCATGACAGTCTATCCTTTTCTTTGCAGATACAGAAGGACATGGCGTGTAGGTCACTCCAGCAGATGAGTTTGTTTCTGGCAAATCAGTTCAACCAGAAGATGTAGCCATGAGAGCAGGACCCTGTCTAGAAAATAGATTTTCACAAGTCAAGTACTTGTGTCCTGGTTTGAGCTAAATAGAACTAATTTTCTATTTAGTGATTTTACTTTTCAGCTCAGTCTCTTTTCAGTGGCTGAACTTGCTGAAAACTAGCAGCATATTTTTCCCAGACAGTATGCTGCTACTGATAAGCTCAAGGCCAATTGTCTCACCATGGGTGCCGTGTCTTCGCCTACAGTGGGGAGAAAGGACCAAAAACTGACCAACTAGTTATTCCATCCCACATACATCATACTTGGTATAAAGCCGAGGGATCACCAGGGTCTCAATCCTTCTTCCATCTGGGAGCCCATCCATATCGGACCCTTCCATCTGTCTCAATCCTGCAACGGCCGAAGTTCAAGCAGAACCCTGCTAGTTCATCTGCCTCTGATCCTGATTTGTGTGTTCCTGCATCCTGCTCCCACCTGCTGCTGAGTTCGGTCTGGGAGCTTCCCAGTGCCCTGCTTCGCAGAGCCTCTGGTGACATATACGT